GCCACCAGGGCGGACTGGACGGGGCGAGGGGGTGCCACCAGGGAGGACTGGACGGGGCGAGGGGGTGCCACCAGGGAGGACTGGACGGGGCGAGGGGGTGCCACCAAGGCCAGCAGGCAGGAGCACGGCCAGCACGCGGGTAAAGATGGGCAAGAAGTAGAAGAGCCAAGTGTAGGTGGTCAGGCACTGACAGCCCCCACGGCGGGGGGAGCAGAGGGCAGGGCCTATCTGGGGAGATGGGGTGGGGGCGGGCGCCTGCCCAGGACCCACCCAGGACCAGATACCCGCCTCCCACTCACCGCTGATCAGGCCCCCGCACAGCTCCCGAATGTGCTGTTCGCTGGCTTCTTTCCCCTGAAAGTCACCACAGACCCATCAGCAAGCGGCCCCTTGTCACACTCGGAAAAGTGACGGACAGTTTAGGAAAAAACATCCAAATCCCGCCAAGATCCGAGGAAGCACGTACCGGAATGCCTGGTTTCCCCGTAATTCCGGGGACGCCTTGCAGCCCCTGGAAGCCCACAGGGCCAGGCGGGCCTGGGACCCCCTGAACACCACTGGTGCCATTGGCACCCTGCTTGCCTTTGGGCCCCAGCTCGCCTCTATCACCAGACTGGACAGAAAGAGCAGAGAAACGGTCAGATGCCAGGCCCCGACTGGGGCCTCCATCCCGTGCACCCCGCGTGGCCGCTGAGTTGCTGTCTGGCCGAGCCTGTGACCTGGCTGCAGGTCTGGGCATGCCCCCACAGGGGGCCCTGGTCCCCCGGGGGTGGCAGTGCGGAGCACCCGCCAGCACTCACCACTCCTTTGGGTCCGACAGGCCCGCTGGGACCCTGCAAACAGAAAGGGGCTTGGTGTTAGCGTCCTGTGTGTGGCAGTGGATGGAATCGGCCACCCAGGCGCCAGGTTAGCGCTTTATTAGTTGAGGATGAATTAAGACAAAGCCGCAGAGTTTGGGAAAGGTTAGCAATAACAGTGGCACAACACGAAAAATGTAACCAACGTCATTGAATTGTAAACGCAGAAGTTGTGTTGTGAACACTTTGGTGTGTATATTGTTACCACAATTTTTTAAAAAGTTAAAAAATGAAATGAAATGAAAAAAAATGAAATCGTCCATAAAACTATAATTTGGATTCACCAAAACAATAATAGTCATTCCCACATATTCTTTTCTCCTTTTTTATATTATTGATTGTATTATACCTACTTATGCTCTTTTCAAGGAGCCCTGGTGGCACAGCAGTTAAGCACTTGGCTGCTAACTGATAGGTTGGTGGTTCAAATCTGCCAGTGGCTCCAAAGGAGAAAGGCCTGGCGATCTGCTTCCATAAAGATTACAGCCTAGAAAACCCCGTGGGGCAGTTCTACTCCATCACCTGGGGTCGCCAGGAGCTGGAATCAGATGGCACCCAACCACCACCACGTGCTCTTTGTATTTACAAGACTTTCTCTCACACACGTTTCCTGTTTCCCATTGTTCTGACTCAAATGATCTCGTTTAGAGTAAAAACAATCATCTGTCCGAGTTCAGACGGTCGCCGTTTACCCCAGAGCAAAGGTGAGGAGGCCAGGGAGGCAGGGATGCCATGTTAATGGAAACAGAACAACCAGAGCAGAAACGATGAGAATGTTGACACGTTGTGAAAAAAACATAAACAACGTCACTGAACGACATCTAGAGATTGTTAAATGGGGACCTAACGTGCTGTATACACTGTCGCTAAAAACACAGTAAAATATATATATATAAAGAAACGCGGCCAAGATGAATCTCTGGTCCTGAAGCTCGGTCCCCAACTTCCCAGCTGTGTCCTCAGGAAACTGCCCAGGGTGGCTTAGGGTTAGGGCTGGCCAAGCATGTGAGCAGGGACCTGGGCCTGACTGGACTCTGCCGTTGCCCTCTGGGCGCTGGGCCGTGGATACAGCTCTGCTCGGACCCGTGGGGCTTGACAGACCTGGGCGTGCGGTCGCAGCCAGAGAGGGACACTCCTCCCGCTGTCTGGCCGCTGAAGTAGCTCGGAGCTGAGGGTCAGGTTCCCCAGCTTGGAGCAGACACCGTCCCTTTGCCACCCCATCAGATTAGTGGGGTTGGGCCAGGCTTTCTCCCGATTCCCACAGTCCTGTTTGTCAAGGTGGTCTGAGAACGCACCAAAAAATTAACCCCACACACGCACAACTGAGCTTATCTTGGCTGGAGATAACACAAAATCTGCACTGGGTTATGAGGGTTTTGCCAGAGACAGGCTCCCTGGGGCTCAGCTGTTCTCCACTTCATCCAGACCCAAAGGGAAGGCTAATTGTAGGGCTAAACACCCCGGCCACCCCAAGCCAGAAAGATCTTTTGTCCCCCAACCCCAGTGATGGTCCACTGCAGTCACCTCTAGAAGAAACGCGAAGACGATACAATACTGGCGGCACAACACGAAAAACGCAGCCCAATCAAGGACGTTATTTTACATGATTTCTAGCTCTGCGGAAGCACGGTTTTCTTCGTGGACACAATGCGTAATTCACACGGAAAGACCCCGATGGAGTGACATTTCCAGGTGGTGTAACTACCCAAGAGCAGGCGCTGGCAGATCCCTTGATGGGAACGTGGGAGCGGGCCGTGCAGCTGTGGCTGCAGCCTTTGCTTGGGGGCTGGACAGTGAGTTCTCCTTCCAGACCTGGCCTGTGTGCCTGGAGGGACAGCCAGTGGCCGGGGCCTCCACACTGACCAGCATCTCAGCCACTTGTTCTCACCTGGATCTGTAGGTGGCTCCTCACCCTCACTGTTCCCAAACGCTGCTAAAGGTCAATGTGTCACACTTACCAGCTCTCCTTTATCCCCAGGAAGCCCATCGACGCCGGCGGTGCCCTGGAAGGGACACCCACGTTAAGGGGAGCCGTCCCCAAGTCTGACTGCCCTAAGCTAGCTGAACTCAGACCACGGGTGCATGAGAGCTACCCAGGGGCTGATGAAAATCCAATCCCAGATGAGTCCAGAAGTCCAGGACCTGGAGTCTGCCTTTTCCCTCCATTAGTGCCCTGGTGACACAGTGGTTAAGCCTTGGCTGCTCACCGAGAGGTCGGCAGTTTGAACCCACCCAGCGGCTCCGCAGGACAAAGACCTGGCAATCTGCTTCTGTAAAGATAATGGCCTAGAAAGGCCTTGGGGCAGTTCTACTCTGTCACGTGGAGTCAGCAGGAGTCGGAATCGACTTGACCACACCCAACAACCACAACAACGGTGACCAGCGCCAGAAGGCCCAGGCGCTGCCTGGGGGCTGAAGGAAGCCGAAGTGTGAGCAGCTACACGGGACCCTGCCCGGAGCTTCTAGAGAGACCGCGCTGCAGAGACGCAAACCCGTCTCATCTGTTCCTGCAGACATGGGGAGAGCCCAGACCCTGCCATCCTTACAGAGTCTGCTCCCAGGACACCGGGGCCGCCCTCCCCTGGGGTTCCTATGGGCCCCATGCCGCCCCAGCCCAGACATCGGTGCCCTGGGAGCCAGACGGGTAGGCTGCCTGTGGCTACACTGCTCCCTGCCCCTGGCCTGGGGAGCTGGGTGCCCAGAGCAGTCATCGCCGGACTAGGGGCTTGGGGGATGACAGCGAACCAGCAAGAGGGAAAAGGAAGGACCAGGGGGACAAGAACTGAGAAACAAGGGCCCTGCTCAGAAGTTTCTGGAACAGGCGGAAGCCTCCGGGCCAGGTGGGCGGGAGGGGGGGGGGGGGGGGTGGAGGCAGCTGCTGGGCTCCTCCCACCTCTGACGGGAACGCAGCTGCTCTCACCTGGTCTCCCTTCGGACCTGCGGCTCCCACGGGGCCCTGCGGGTGGAGAGAAAGCGATGCAGCAGAGGAGTTACAGGACCCCCAAGGTGGCGTCCCGCGTCCACACCGCACAGAAAGCGGTGCGGAAACGCGCCCGGCCACGTGTGTGCAGCCAAACGCCAAACCACGATCTCAGTCTGCGAGCGCATCCCAGACCCCGCTCTGCGCCCACATGCGCCCTTTTCCCATAGGCCGCCCCTTTTGGCTCCACAGCGTCCCGCCGAGCTGAGGGGAGTCGGACCCCCCACACGCGGCAACGTCGGCACCACGGGCGCATCGGTGCCCACATCTGCGCAGACTCGTCCGCCCTCACGCCTGCCAGCTCGGATTAACCGCCGACTGAGAGGTTAGGCGCATACAGTAAAATAATACATAAAAAATAGCCTTTGTTAAGACCGCAGCCATCGGCGAGAAGCTGCCAAGGGCAAAAAGTATGCCACCTTCCCTGTGGGCCAGACAGGAAATTCAGCCACCGCCCCCTCCCACCCGCCCGCCACAGGCAGGACAGTGTGCGGGGTGGGGGGGAGCGGGGACAAACGGGTGTCAGGGCTGTCAGCCCCCCTTCCTCTCCACCATCTCAGAGGTCTGGGCTGTGGGCACGCCCCTCGAGCCCTGGAATTTCCACCCTGGAGGCTAATAAAGGACCCACTGTCCATCTGGCCGCAGGGCGGCGGTGTCCTCGCCCTCCTGGAATGAAGGGGCGCCTGTGACCGCGCTCCCACGTCCGCGCGGCTTCCTGGAGAGCAGGTATGAGCTTCCGTGCTGGGCGCACAGAGAATAGAGGCCTTGTCCTCACCTGGCGGGGCGGTCTCGGGCACATGGGGGGGGTCTCCCCAGCCCACCAGCTCCTCCCCAATGACTGGGACAGCACTGGGTCTTGGAGGCCCTGCAGGAGCCCCATCTCCCCACCGAGGCTTCTGGTCCCCGCGTTGCCCTAGGCTCGTCTTCGCGCCTGTGTGCCTGCGCGGGGTGCCAGCTGCGATGAGGACAGCCCCTCCCCAGCTGAACCTGCCTCACCACTGTCGCGAGGCCAACAGAGCTGTGAAGAGTTACCAACTGTGACAATTACAATCTCTTAAACAGCGCTTTCAAAATTATTTTCAAGTCCAAGGTGTGGGGGCTGGAGCTGCCACCCTGTCCCCTCACCCCGGCCAGGAGCTCGGTGACAGTGCACGGAGACTGCCATCCCTCGGCCTCTGATGGGGGACCCCATTGTCCTCATTCAGCAGAGAGCAACTGGTGTGGATCTGAACTCCTTCTGCTGCAGTGGGGGACACCTTCGCCATGAGGACCCACAGAGGTAGGGTCAGGCCCAGCTCAGCGTGGCACCCAGTGGTGTGAGGACTGGGGGGTGGTGTGAGGACTGGGGGATGGTGTGAGGACTGGGGGGTGGCGTGAGGACTGGGGGGTGGCATGAAGACTGGTGAGTGCAGGGGCCCAGGTGGCCAGTCCTGGGGAGCCCCGACAACACAGTTTCTCATCCAGGGCCTTCAGATGACCATCCCCCTTGCTGAGACCTGAGAGTGTGGTGTGTGGGTGAAGGTGAGTCACCCTTTCCAGAACAGCCACTTACCCGCTCACCCATGCTGCCTCGGAGGCCCTGGGGGCCAGGTAGGCCGGGATCTCCGATGCTGCCCTTCTGGCCCTGCAGACACAGTCCCAGCCGCCTGTCAGCAAGCCCCAGAGAGGAGGCCCGCCCCCGCCCGGCCCAGGCCCCGCCCCCTCGGCCCAGGCGCCGCCCCCTCACAGGCCCCGCCTCCCCAGGCTCGCCATCCTGAACCTCACCCACCTGGAAGCCTCGCACGCCAGGGGCCCCTGGAGGGCCTTGTGGGCCAAGAGCCCCCTGAAAGGTGCAAGGCAGGTGTAAGTGGGTATCCCTTGGCTGTGGAGAGCCCTGAGGGGACCCCCCCAGGGAACACCCACTGTGGGCAACGGGGTTCGGGCGGACAGGGAGCTGCTCAGGTTTGGGTGGACAGGGAGGGCCTCCTGGGGGAGGGGGGTAGGTGGCAGAGGTCAGGCACGTCCTCTGTCCTGGTGTCAGAAGCCCACTGCCTCCCCAGGAAGATTGCCAGCACTGTCGCCGTACTGGGCTAGTGAGGGGACACTGGGCTTGGCAGGAGAGCCGGGGCCTCCAGCTGCCGGGCCCCAGCTGCCTTCCTCCACGGCATGAGGGCCCAGAGGATACGCAGCTCAGGCCTGGCTCCACCACCTCTGAGCGGCTGGGGACCCAGAAGGTGAGGCTGGCAGTGTAGGGCACCTTGGGCTTTTGATGAGCTGTACCCAAACCGCCCCCACGCGTGCAGACGGAGGCCACCCCTGGAGCCTTGCCCCTCACTCACCGCCGAACCCCTGTGGCCGGCCTCACCACGCTCCCCTGGCATCCCCACATCTCCCTGCGTGCAGAGAGGAAGGTGTGATTGGGGTCCACGGAGGATGGGGGACAGGGGGACATATAGGGATGTGGGGGCTGGGGTTATGTACCGGGGCGGTGAGTAGGGATATGAATGAAGACGGGAGGTGGGGGTACCTGTGGGCGTGGGGGGTACGTACAGGGATGCCTGGCTCTCCCGAAGGGCCAGCCTCGCCCAGTTCTCCAGCTTTGCCCTGTGGAGGGGGAGGGGGTGCTCTGAGTGACGCCTGCACCCCTACCTAGGACTCAGCACTGCCCCCTCCTGCCCCCCAGGAAGGCCACGTACCAGTTCTCCCTTCTCGCCTTTGGGCCCTGCTCGTCCCGGGAGTCCCTGCCAGGATGGGGTGGCGGTCAGAGCTGCGAGCCCCGGCACTGGCAGCATGCACAGCCGGGGACAGAGCGTGCCCAGTGGTGGGACAGTTGTCTCCCTGCCGACCCCCGTGACAGCCCTGGCCTCTAATGCAGAGCCCCCTGCATCACCCCCCTCAGGGACCCCACGATGGGGCCGACCAGGAGAACCAAAGACCTGCTCCCACACAGCTGCGTGTGCACGGATGAGCGTGAACGTGGAGCACCCGGCTCTGCGCACCCCAGGCTCCGCGTGCCCCACCCCCAACGCAGTGAGCACCCCCTCAGCACGCCCCTGCACGCCCTTGCTTAGCATACCCCTGGCTCAGTGCCCCCATGCTCAGTGTGCCCCCCTACTCAGTGAGCCCCCAGCCCTGCGTGTCCCTCCTCTCCCCAGCGAGCCCCCGGCTCAGCACCACGTAAGCCCTGGATAGGCATGATTCCCACACCCCTAGGCCAGCCCTGTGGGTATCCACCCTGGTGGCCCCTGCCTGTCCCACCCGCTCCCCCGGCACTCACCGGCAGCCCACTGGGTCCCTTCTCTCCAGGGCTGCCACTGCGGCCGGCCTCTCCCTGAGGGGACGAGTGAGGGGGGTGGGGGAAGATGTGTACCAGGTCTCCAGGCCAAACCCTATCCCTCCCCCCATCCCAGCCGACCCCTCGGCAGGACCCGGTTGCCGCACCGACCTTCTCTCCATCGAGCCCTGGCACGCCATCCCGGCCGTCCTTGCCCGGCATACCCTGGGGATGAGGGGATGGGTGAGGTCCGCCTGCAGCCCGGACAGCTGCCTCGCTGGCCCCCGCCCTGTGTCCGCCCCTCCCGGGCCGGCTCTGCCTGAGCTGCCCGCGGCTGTCTGTGGTCAGGCAGCTGCAGCAGTCCCCTGGCCCCCCGGGGCCGCCCTCAAAGGCCACGAGGACGTGGGGACAGGCAGAAGGCAATAAGGGGGTGGCAAGGCCCACTGCCCAGGGAACTGGTGTGTGGCTCCTGCTTTACAGATGGGGAAACGGAAGCTGGGGAAACTGAGGCTGGGGAGCCTGCCTGTCCCGACTCTTGCTTACCTGTCTCGGAGCCCAGACAGAATTGGCCAGGGTTCCTCCCATGGGTCCGCCCCCCAGAGCCACAGACCAGGATGTCCTACTAAAGAGGGGATCCCAGGGGCCCACCCCCTGGGCCTGGAAGGACCGCAGGTCGGGGCCGCCAGGGTGCGGAGGGAGGGCTCAGTGCCCAGGACCCTCTGCTGCTCACATTTGTGCACCCTACTTCTCACATGCCCCATGGGAAAGCAGACAAGCCCAAACCCAGATGGACAGGACAGCAAATGCAAACAACGGTGGGGGCCTGTCCAACAATGACCACGCTCTCCAAGGCCACGACGGCAGCGCACTGACCACGGGCCCTGAGACTCAGCCACCCATGAGCCGGCCTGTGTGTGGCCTGGGACCCCGGGGAGGGAATCATTCTCGATGAGGGAGCCGTTACACAGACGGCAGAAGGTCTGCTGCAAAGAGCCCCTGCTACCGAGAGGGCACTTACCGGCTCTCCGGCAGGCCCAGCGAGTCCAGGGATCCCTTTGGCCCCAGCCCTGCCCTGAAAAACACAGCAATGGGCTGAAACAGCCAAGCAGCAGGAAAAACGCTGCCCGCCGTGTACCTGTCCCTGGTGCTCAGGACCAGGCTGCTCTGGACACCAGGCATTGTGCCCGGGATACAGAAGCTCCGCCAGCCTGGCTTTGTCTGTGCGCAGGGAGAGCTGACTGGATCCTGCAACAGTGCAGCGTCCCTCCAACGCTTTTCCAAACAGATCTCTTGCCGGCCAGGCGAGTCAAGAGGGAAGAGGTGGCTGGCTAGGAGCGTCCACAGACAAATGCCAGCCCAGGAACGGTCACTTCAGCTCGTCTCGACACAACATGCGTTCGCTTTTCTCTGTTTTATTCTGTTTCCCCTGTGGGCAGCCTCGGCCATGCCACCTGGGGCCACATTGGCCAGGGTTCCACCAGGGCTCTGTCCCACTCCCCGGCCCAACTGCTCACTGTGGCTGCTCTGGACAAGAGCTTGCTAAGCTGCTGGAAGCTTCCAAAAGTCCAGTGCAGAGGGAGTGCTGGGTGGGGGCGCTCCCCGGGGAGGTGGTTCACCCACCCCCACCCCAGCAAAGGGCCGGCATGGGGAGGTCACCCCACACCCCCCCACAGGTGCCCTCTGATGGTCTCCTCCACCACCCCCTTCCCAGCACTCTCTGCACAAAGACAGAAAACAAGTTCTTGCTCACTTACAACGTCACCCTTGGGTCCGCGGAACCCCTCTGGGCCCCTCTCACCTCTGTCACCCTGGGAGACAAGGGGAGAGGGGACAGAGTCAGCAGCGCAGAGCAGCTGGGCCTGACTGCAGGGCCGGCGTCCCCCAGGAGCAGGGCAGGACCAACCCTCCTGAGGGTTGGAGATAGGGGCCTGCCTTATGTCCATAATGAGAAATAACGTGCCCCCACCCAGGACCCTTGCCCTGGTTTGCGAGGTCGTCAGGAGCAGCTCCTTGTCTGTGCATGCGCACCCCAGAGGCCAGGTCTGGCTAAGCCCTTCAAGGGCAGGCGCAGGGGTGCTCCTCACCTCCCAACACATGACACACGTACCACTTTCCCAGGTGCTCCTGGGATCCCTGGTGGCCCTCGGAACCCAATGGGACCCTGTGGAGAAGAGGGGAGTCTGGAACCGGCCCATGTGGAGCGCAGTTTGCGGTGTGCACCTCCCTGCCGCGTGTGGCCCCCTGACTGCATGAGCCTCCCTGCCACGTGTCCCATGCCAGCACACCCCCTGCAGTATGCAGCCCCTGCCATCTGTACCCCCAGCCCCCAGCCAGCCCCTCCCACCGATTAGCACAGAGGCTTCTCCTCCTGGGTTAAAACTGGCCCTGCCCCTGGCAGTCTTGAAGCCCCTCCTCCCTCACTGCAGCCCCACCCACCCACCCAGCACCTTTTCCCTTTGGTCCACAAGAGCCTTCAGAAAGCCTTGTTTTGTGCAACTGTGTGGGAGTCCTTGAGGACACTTGGTCCAGCCTCCCCGGTGGATTCCGTGTGAACTGAGGCCGGGGAAGCCCCTGCCCTGCCACATGCCCCCACAGCCTGGGGCTCTAACCAGCTGCTGGGCCCAGGATCCAGCTGGAGAGGGGTGGCTGGGGGCTGACCTGAGGTCTGGTGACAGGGCGGGCCCCTGGCCGCGGGCCCCAACCCCCTGGGCTTTCTTGAAGAGTGGTCCACAGTCACCGAGGACAGACAGCCACTCAGTCATGTGTGTCCTGGGGGCAAGACTGACCCCAGCAGCACACAGCCCCCACGAGGGGAAGCAGGACTTACCCGGTCCCCAGGGGGCCCGAGTGGTCCTGGCAGTCCTCGAAGTCCCCGGGGGCCCTGCAGGAGAGCAGAGATGCAGGGTTCCAGCCAAGGGCCTGTCCCCTCACCTGCCCTGGGGAGCCACATGAGGGGCCTGGCTCTGGAGAGCCCTGTGTTTCCCTAAAAGTCCTCAGCCTCAGCTCCAGGCCTCCAGAGCTTTCGGGTAGGTGGGCCAGAGAGTGGGACTGGCCCAGTTCCCATACAGCCCCACTGCTAGGAGTGAGCAGACTGCCCCCCCGGCCTTAAGCAACTCCTCCTTGGGGGTGGCTGTCTGTGGGCTTCCCACCCGCTCTCCTCACCCCTTCCAGCCTCACCTGCAGCCCCACGGTGCCTGGGATGCCAGGGGGCCCAGGAGGGCCGGGGTCACCCTGCAACGGGGATGAGAAAATGTGTTAGCGGGTAGGCCCTGGGCTCTTCCAGCTCCTTCTCCCATTGCTTGCCACCTACCCCCACCCTTCCCAGTAGAGGACATCCCCCACTTCCTAGGTGAGCTACCAGGACTGAGGGAGGGACTCATGGAGGGGTCACTTGCCCACAGTGACATTAGCCTGTCTTGAAGGTGGTCAGACGTGTCCACAGGTACATCAGGCTCGTCCACGGAAACATCACCAGCTTCCGTGCGAACATCACCCATGGTCTCCATTCTAACCTCCTCTTCCTCTACTTCATGGCCACTCTCAGGCTCCACCCACCCCAGGCTCCGCCCACCCTCAAGCTCTGCCCACCCCAGACTGTCCACTCAGGCTGCATCCTCCCTCAGGCTCCGCCCACCCTCAGGCTCCACCCACCCCAGACTATGTCAACCCAGGCTCCGCCCGCCCTCCGGCTCCACCCACCTCAGGCTCCGCCCACCCTCGGGCTCTGCCCACTCCCAGGCTCCGCCCACCCTCGGGCTCTGCCCACTCCCAGCCTCCGCCCACCCTCGGGCGCTGCCCACTCCCAGCCTCCACCCACCCTCGGACTCTGCCCGCTCCCAGGCTCCACCCTACCGTCAGGCTCTGCCCACTCCCAGCCTCCACCCACCCGCAGGCTCTGCCCACTCCCAAGCTCCACCCACTCTCGGGCTCTGCCCACTCCCAGCCTCCACCCTACCACTAGGCTCCGCCCACTCCCAGGTTCCACCCACCCTCAGTATCCACCCTCCCCCAGAACGGTCTCCCTCACCTTCTCGCCGTTCTTGCCAACTTCTCCTTGCTCCCCTTTGTAGCCTGTGGGTCCCTGAAGCCAACACAGCAGGCGATGGGTCACAGCCCACCCGGACCCTCGGACACCCCCATTCCCAAGAGGATGGAATCCAGCCTCCCAAAGGTCTCAAGACAGGCGTGGGCCTGATGGGAAGATCGAGGCCCAAGGGATGCCATGACAGCAGCGGGCAGGCGGGAGAGGGGACAGGTGGGGCTGGGGCCAGGCCGTGGGGGGCAGGGGGTGGCAGGCAGGGTGGGGCGGGCGTGTTGCGCACTAGTTCTCCTCCCACGCCCACCTTCTGACCCTCACGGCCAGTGTCACCAGGATGTTGAGGGGATGGGGACAGAACACGGGCTCCCAAGCAGGGTGGCAGCTGACCTCCTCCTGGGAAAATGCTGGGAACCTGGGCCAGACTCCCGGGCCCCCACCTCCCCCATCTCTCAGCCTATGTAGAGACGGCTGCTCCTCGTCCCAGCATGAGTCTCACCTTGAACCCCGGCATTCCTGGGGGGCCGGGCGGGCCTGGCGGGCAGATGGCGGGGCACTGTTGGAAAGCACAGAGGGTCAGACCCCTCCTGGCAAACAGGAGCCCAGCTGGCCGCTCTGGCCGACACCCGACCTGAAACTGAGCTCAGCCCCAGGGGCCTGAGAAGGGCTGTTGTCACGTGAGAAGAGCCGGGAAGACACGAGCCTCTTGGGGCACCCAGACGAGGCCCCACTTGGCACTGGCCATAGGGTGACAGGGCCCTCCTTCAGGATCTTAGATTTCTGAGACACCCACGGAGGGCACAGGCTTCACAGCAGCACCCGACCCATAGCCACTTGCTTTACGAGGGAGCCTCATCCCTCCCCTTCCTCCCTCCAGGGGTTCTAGGCGAGCCCCGCTCCAGCATCCACATCCTATGGATTCACTCAACAGGCTCTAGCATCTTGAGAGTGACGTCCCAGAAGCCCAGGCCTCAGCCCAGCAGCCTCCCAGGCACCGTGCCAGTGCACTGTGTTGGAGGCCCTGAGACTTCCAGATCATTCCAAAGCTACTCTGCCAACTCCACCTGCCCTCCGCCCGGGGTCTCTGGTCCTTGGGGAGCCCCCGCCAGGCCCGCTCAGGCATGGTGGGGTTGGCCGGCAGTTCACAGAAAGCAGGTGGATTATCTGTCTTTCGTGAACAAAAGTCTGCTCCATGGAAACGAGGTGCCACCGACACTAGGAGCCGCACAAACGGAGGAGGGAGACTTGCGGTTTCTCTCCCCGCACAGTGCCACGGGCTCCCAGCGGAGCCACCACAGGCCGGCTCTGGACCCTCCTGCAGCCATGGCAGTGCTCTGTCCACTACCCCGTCGGCCCACTCGCCACGCGGGCCTGGGAGGTCTCTGGATGCGGCTGGAGCACAGAGGACCTGAGCTTTTAATGTATTTTTTCTAAGTACGTGAAGACCGCTCCACGAGGCTGCTTGCGGGCAGTGCTGGCTGGCCTGGGCTGGGTGTGGGGAGGGCACGGGAAGGCACCCAGCCGGGTTCTGCCCCAGGCTGAGCCGGAGCTGGTGTCACCCAGTCTGCAGAGACCTGCCCGCCCATCCAGCTCTGCCACCTCCAGCATGGAGCCCCTGTCCCCACCACCCCCACGGGAGCTCCAGGCCCTGCTTCCTGGGGGCGGGGACAGGCCCATTCTCGCCACTCCAGGCAGGATGCCACACTGGAGGGTCCCTGAGGCCGGGGATCAAGCCAGACCCCTGCACACACGCACACATGCTTGCACACACACATGCACGCCTACATACATGTACGTGGACACACAGGCACACACAGACACACACAGGCACACACAGACACACACAGGCACATGGACACACACACGCACGTACACACACAGGCACACGTGCGGCATCCCCAGCCCCAGCTCTCTCCACCGACGGCTGCAGTGCCCACCTGCAGGTCAGCAGCACCTTCAGGGAGGACCCCTGGCTGTCCCTGGAATAGACAGAGAGCTGACTTTGACACCATCCCACCAGCTGCTCTCCCTCCCTCCACAGTTGCCACCTACCCACTCACAGACTGCACCCCTCCCTCTCACCTGGGACTTGGGGACCCTTCAGCCCTCCATGAGTAGGTTCTAGGCCCCCCCACCACCACGTTGCCAGTGCTGGGGCCACATGACAACAACAGAGACCACCGTGTCCCTGAGAGAGGGGCCACCAGGCCTGGACCCTGACGTCCCCTGTCCGCTGGCCCGTCTCTGGCGCCCTGGGGACAGGGGGTCCCGCTCCGCATGGACACCAGGCCCACGCCCATGCCCGGCACATCCCCAGGAGCCCTGGACTCCCTCTGCCCCATACTTACAGGGGGTCCAGGAGGTCCCGGGGGGCCCGGGGGGCCTGGGAGTCCAGAGGGTCCCTGTGCGGGAGGTTATGACTTAGCTGGAGCAGGACCAGCCCCCACCTGAGGTGAGGTGACTGGCCACTCCCAAAGAGAAGCTGCCCTGTCAGGCTGTGGCCCTCGTGGGGCGCCCCAGCTCCCCCTGCCCCCGTGGCTTTGCCAGGGTCAGTCTGGTCTTGGTCTGCCCCCTCCCTGGATCACTGGCCAGGGCTCAGGCGGCACCTGCCAGAGGCGGGGATGGGGAGAGAAGGGAAGGAGGGAGAGGAAGAGGAGAGGAGAAAGGAGCGGAAGGGGAGAAAGGAGGAGGGAGGGGAAGGGAAAAGAGGGCAGAAAAGGGGAAGGGAAAAGAGGGCAGAAAAGGGGAAGGAGAGGGGAGGGGGGACGGGGGCGGGGAGAAGAGGAAGTCCCTGGCAACCCGACAGGGGAGACCCTGGCGGGCTCATGGCTGGTCACTGGTCACCGAGGGTGTGGGCGGGCTAACCAAGCCCACTGCAGGGGGTAGGAGGTCTGGGGTAACCACTCACCGGGGGGCCCCGGAGGCCGACTCCTCCCGGGAGGCCGCTGGCTCCTGCCTCTCCCTAGAGGGAGGAAAAGGGGGTGGGACGTCTGCACCTGGAGAGCTGCTGAGGGTCCCAGGGGATCGTTTGCCCCTCTGATGGGACAGGACTCTGGAGTGTGGGGCTGAGGTTGCTGCCCCTGAACAGCCTGCCCCCTTTGCATGCTGTGGGACATCCCAGGTTGGCTCTGGGTTGGGGGCAGCTGCGGGGTACTCTGTGTGCCTATGTGGGGGGCTGTGGGGGAGGTTGGTACTCACGGGGGGTCCAGGGAGGCCTTTGCCCTGCCAAGGCAACACATAGGTCAGCTTGCTGGAAACACCCGAGTTTGCCCACCCCTGCCTGTGCAGGTGGCTCCTGGGGGCCCTCAGGGGATGCGTGTCTGCTCTGGGGCCCCCACCCCAACAAAGCACAGCTCAGGGACTTGCCCCAGAGGCTGCAAAGGAGGGACAGACCCGACATCCCACCTGGGGGCACTGGGGCTCCCCAAACTCCCACCTACAGGAGAGAACGGTACTCACCCCCAGTCCAGGTGGCCCTGGGGGTCCCAGGCTTCCCTATAGGAGGAAAACAGGGTGTCAGGGAGCGGCTGGGCCTGGCCTGTGGGCAAACCCCTTCCCCCAAGTCCCATTAGGTCCTCACAACTCTTCTATGGGGGCAGGACAGGGATGAAGCCCTGCCTCACAGAAAACTGAGGCCCAAGCAGAGGGGCCTTCAATGCCCTACAGGTGCTTTTCTGGGGTACTGGTCAGTGAACCCCACTGAGAGGAGCGTGGAGGAGGGGCAGAGGCCTGGTAGCTGCAGATGTCCTGGAGGATATGCCCAGTGGTGCAGACCACCAGCCCAGCCTGGGGACCCAGGGGCACTTACCCGTTCTCCAGGGGCACCCTTGGGGCCAGGGGGGCCTTCCCGCCCAGTCAGACCCTGGAAAGGGAGGCAGAGGAGGAGCGGGTCACACAGGAGCAAGTCCCACAGGCTATTTCTGGCATCTTCCTCTCCCGGCCCGCCACCTAACCCTGCAGCACCCAGAACTGGGGTGGGGGTGTGGTGGCAAATGGTGGGGAGAAGCCCGTTGGGACAGCACACAACTCAGCTGTCTCTAGTTCTGGCTAATGAAACCCGTGTGGGGCCAGGCCTCGAGCCCCACCACAGATGGACAGAGGGACAGACAGGGTGGCTGGGGCCAGGATTGGTGTGGACGGCACTGGGACAATGATCGCTTGTTCCTGGCTGAGCAGGAGCTGGCAGGCTCTCCATTCTAGCTGCGGGCTGGCTCAGCCATCTGCTAGACGTCCACAGGTCTGGGACGAGGGCCAGGGGTCCCCGTGGGGGACGTCCGGGGATGGCCTTCTGCAGGACTGGCCCGACTGAGCAGACCCAGCTGGAGAACAGCAATTAAAACCTGCGGCCTGACCCTGCTGGAATGGAGCCGCCACGGCCGGGGAGGGGGCGCAGTACTCACGTCCACGCCAGGCAGCCCCGGCAGCCCCGTCTCTCCTGGCTTTCCCACTTTCCCGGGGGCCCCTTTTGGTCCCTGTAGGAGGGAAAAGCAGAGGGCGTGAGGGGGCGGCTGGCCCCTAGCCTTTGCCTTCACCTTTGCCAGGGAAGAAAAGCATTTTCTGACCTGGCACCACCAGCAATCCAAGACAGGCCCACTCCTCTGGGGCCCCAGCCTCTCCTTGCTGCCCAGAGACCCCAGCCCCAGCCTCTGCCTGCCCACCCGCTTCGCTTCCAGAAAGCTGCTCTATAATTATCGGCAGCATCTGTGGGACGGTCACAGGTCGCTTCGGCCTCCCTAGCCAAGGGCCAGTGGGTTCCTCTGGGATCCCCACGGGCCCTGACAGGTCTCTGCACCCTCAATTCCTGGGCTGACGGGCACGGGGGACCAGCCCCACTCCATGAGGGTAAGCGTGCCACCTCACTCCAGGTGGACGAGTAGGACTGTGTCGTTCACCTCCCCCCCCACCCCTCCTGCCCCACCGGGCACTGGCCCAAAGAAAGCCTCAAAGCCAGATCCTGCCCAGACACCCTGAACCCCACAGCTCCCCGCTAGCCCCTTACTGGCATCGGCCCCTGCTCCTAGCCCTCTGAGGCCTCCCCTAGGGCGGCCCTGGGCCCAGCAGGGTGGGAGAGGCCTCAATGACCCGTCTGTTCTCTGTGTCCACCCCTCCCCCAGCCCTCTCACCACATCAGGGACACTCACCGGGGGTCCAGGCAGACCTGGAGGACCAGCTTCTCCCTGCAGTAGGGGTGGGGGATGCCCACACGTGACCGAGTGCTCCCTGAAACCCTTCCCCAGGAGAGCAGGCAGCCCCCAAGCCTGGCAGCTGAGACAAGATGGGACCCCCTATCCCTCGCTTTCCCAGCCCTACCTAAGAGGTCCCCTCCCCACCACGGGCCGGGGCAGAGAGGGTGCTGGGGAAAGGGCAGAGGAGGGACAGATCTGGGCTCACCTGATAGGGCCCACACGGCATTTGGGAACCACTCTGAGGCTGCAACCCCCAGAAACA